AGATTTGCCTAAGTAAGGAACAAAGTTCCTTTTATATAAAACAAGTTATTGAATTATATTTTCTTTCTGAAAAAATTTTCTGCAGTGCACATCTTATTGAAGGTGAGCACCTTGCAATTGTGGATTATGATGCCTGAAGGATTAATCAAATTGCTGACAATACTACAATTGTACTATATTTTTAATGTCAAACTTCTAAAATCTGACTACTAAAACTAATAAAATAATTACATTTTAAGAAAAAATTTTCAAATTTGTGTGACACAGTGACACTCATCCAAATGTGTGTATTTGGTATACTTTTAATTGCCTCATTTTACCACTGACTTAGTTTCCCATGTACTTATCTTATTCTTTTCCCCTAAGGTCCCAACATCTGTCTCACTCTTCTCTACACTTTCCATAAACTCAAACAGTTTCTTCCAAGTTTTCTAGAGACATTACTTCCTAAAACCCCCATCCTACTTACTGGACATAGTAGTCATCTTGGGACTTTCATTCATTGCATTCCTTTGTGAGATCTTATGTTTTCAGGAGCCCATGCCTTCTTACTTTGATTACTCCTTTGTTTTGGTGAAGCACATCCTCCAGTAGCCTCCTAAGAAATGGTACATGGTAAGGTAAAATTTTGAAACCATGCGAGTCCAAACTTTATTTTAGCCCCAAATTTGATTGGATTGTCTAGATACAGAATTCCAGATTAGGATTCATTTTTCCTCTTAAATTTGAAGGACTTGCTTTCATAATCTTCTAACACCCAGTGTTGCTACCAAAAGTCTAAATGCCATTCTGAAAACATCCTTTTATGAAAACCTTGTTTCCCCTCTGGAAGCCTTTAGGACCTTTTTTAACCCCGAAATATGGTATGCTCTTGTATGTGTTTAACGCATTATGTTGAGCATTAAGTGGATCCTTTTAATTTAGGAGACTCATGTCCCACATTTTGGGGAAATGCTGTTTTCTCTCTTCACCTCTTTTCCCTGTTTTCTCTTTTTGGGGTCTTATTAATCAGATGTTGCATCCCATTCTGATCTTCTCATTTTTCTTTTGTCCTTTTCCTGTTTTCCAACTCAGCTTTTTTGTTCTACTTTCTGAAATTTCTTCAGCTTATCATCCAACACATCTATTGAATGTTTAATATTAACTCTATTATTCCAATACTTTTATTTTGTTGTTCATTTTTTACAGCATGCTATTATTTTATGGATGCAATATATTCTGTTTCTGAGACTATTATAGCTTGAGGGTTTTATGTTCCCTTCATTATTTCTAGTTTTTTCTTGTTTCTTTTGGTATTCATCTTTCATTGTTGAAAGTATCTTCTAACGTTTAGTGATTCTTGGCTATCAGTTTATTGTGAGTTCATGTGACTGAAAGCTGTGTATGAATGAGGAGGCTTGTGGGCTCTGGGTTTTACAGTAACAAATAATCATAATCAAGTGGTAAGCTGTTTTATTATTCATGTTTCTGGATGGGGTGAGCAGGGCTGGGTATAAGCCTGGCTGCCAGATTATGTAGCTGGGTGGACTAAAGAGACAGACAGTTCATGATGTTCAGATACTGACATTCTTTCCATCTTCCTGTTTCCAGTGTCACACCTCACTATCACCATCACTCTCCCCAGGTCCCTGTTCTAAGTCTAACTGGGACTTTGGTTCAATTTCTCCAGGGAATAAGCTGCTAGAGTTTGGCTATATAGAGGAATAGTTACTTAGCCACCCAAAAAATAAAAAACAAAACAAATAAATCCCCAAAACTTTCAAATAATCCCCTTGCTTCCAACTTTGCTCCTACCCCTGCTTTCCAGGGTACCTTGTTCTTCAAATCTTTGAGTCTTTTGGGGGTTCTCAAAGGAAAAGAATGGTGTTTCAGATCTGTGGACCTTTCTTGCAATGAAGAATGGCTGCCAGAACTGTGCTATCAAGTATTTAAATTAAAAAAAGTAATACTCTTAATCTTTCATGACAAAGAGTGAGAAAGTTAACTGCTTAAAATACACACACACTCACGCAAAACAAAGTCAATCTACCTAATACTGACATTTAAAAAAATTATATAAATGTCTGCAAATGTTTTAATGATTATGTGATTATTTTAGCCTAATACAATGTGTCTTTTATAAAAACTGTCATATCTGCCATCGGGCTTCTTTCTCCACCTCTCTGCAACAGTTCTAACCTTGTGTTAACTGTTAGCCTCCATCTCCTGGCACTGAGTATTTGGAAGAAAACACCACATAACGAGAACACTCAGATTGCTCCCCTGGAACAACTATATGACTACAACCCAAGCTTAATCAATGCTACTAACACATTTATAGGGCTTCCAGATAAAGCACAGGATGCCAGTTAAATGTGAATTTCAGTTAAATAACATTTTTCCTAGTAATTAAAACTTATTTGGGCATCTTATACTTTTTATTTGCTAAGACTGGCAACCCAACATATTTAAGGAAACGATGTGTCACAAGTAGAAAGTGAACATCATAAAAAAACAAAAAACAAAAAACAGTTTAAAGGAAATTGGGATCTGGACCAAAGCGTTCAAGCCACTGGGAAATTCTACACTACTACCAGGTAGGTAGCCAGGGGCCACCACCACATTACCCACGTTGTGCTAAGTCCCCACGAGAATGCCTAGGCTGGGGCCAACAATAACGCTTTCAATTAATACAGGAATTTAGTGTCCCCTGGTTGTGGTCGCCCCCTTAATTGTGTTACCAGAGCTCTGCCGCCTTATCGAGTCATTCTGGTTGCAATCATAAAGCCAATCCAGGGTCTTTTTGGGTGGAACATGGCTATGCCCTTGGATTGTTCCAGTGTTTTGGTACCTCCCAAAGGAAGCTGCCCCTACTGGACCACTACCTAATTAATGCATTGGAAAACACTAGTTGATATATTGGAGTTTCGGGTTCCAAAGTTGACACTGGTTAGAAGGGTAGCATTTAAGCAAGGGATTAGCAGTTAACTTAAAGATAATTTCCCCTCAAATAAGAAGACATTACCAGCCCCTTAATTTACAAACTTATTCTAAGACTCTTCCATCTGGTTTCTGTTGAAATCTAATTTGACACCATACCAGCTCGGTTTCTGTGTATACTAGGAACTCAGTTTTCATCTTGTTTGGCTGATGAGGATCCTGAGTCTCCTAGATGATTACTATGTCCTACTCCAGGGAATAGGGTATCATTTCCCAAATGATCCCAAGAATTTTCATATCACATGTCAGGGTCATCTATGTCTTCCCAAATAAACTGCCCAAACTCCAGTCAATTTACTGATCCAACCCTAAACTGACACTAACCATTTTAAACTGCCTCTATGCATTTTACACGCAACAACTCTGGTTACCTGCCTGCCACACTATTTTAAATTATTTTTAAATCAGGCATTCTTTTCCCATGTCTCATTGAGAACAGCTTGTATTAGCTTTCACAGCCAACAGGAGCTCGGTAGCTAGCAAGTGTCAGGTCAATGTGGTACCCTTACCCTTTCCATTTTTTTGGTCTCTTTCGAAACTTTTATATAATCCCACAGCTGCCACCAATTGAAAGGAAGAGCATAGAACATACAATGATCAGACTCAAACATATAGCCATTAACTAACTTTTGAAATTGGCAAAGATTTACCATAGATATTTTTGACGCAAAGGAAATACCTAGTAGTTTGTTTCACTTAGTAGAGCTCCCTCAATTTCCCTCAGTTGAATGGATATTGCTCATTGGTGGACTCATATGTCAGCAGCTTGCACAAAGCTGTCATAAGTCAGAAGTTACCCACTTTCTGGGCTTTCCTATATACTCCAGCCATATGAGCAAAATACTTCTGCCCCTTTATTTATATGCTATTGCTTTGTGAATTTAGCATATACATCTTAAATCTGTGTACAAAATACCGACTTACCTGTTTCCTAAGCTGACTTTCCCTTGTGGGGTTTAATTGCTGGAATGTGCCCTCCACATGAATTTATACTACATTTGGAAGGCTGCTCCACTTTCGAATATTTTAAGGCCCATATAAAGATTAAGCTTATTTAATGTGGTCCTAGAGAGCAGAAATGGCATCAATGGCCAAAAGCTTTAGGATAATTTATCTTGGGTCAATATGTTTTAAAACTAATTTCTTATGTATAGTATCTTATTTAATTTTGCTCCCAGTATCTGGATTATAGTAGGCATTCCATAATGTTATTAGATGACTAAATTTCTAATGAGAGATATTTTAGGGAATTGAGGTATCAGTAATAACCCAAGTGACTTCTAAGGTCCCTAAATTGCTTTGACAATCCATTCTAATTTCAAAACACCGTTTTCATCATAGAGAAAATTTTTTCAGATGGGGATTTGTGACAGGAGCCCCACAGGATAATTCCCTAAAGCTGACGGAACACCCGTCCTCCTCCTGCCATGTACTGATTTCTTCCTTCTCTTGGGAAGCTGATGGGTTTAAAAGGCCTGGCTGTGGTCTTCTGGGCGGCAGGGATCTGAACAGCTCCAACAAAACGAGGCTGCCTGTCTGTACCGAGAGAATCACACCTTTAAATGACATTAATGTCCATTGGTTCAGAAGTCCTGTTTCCTTATTCCTCTGATAAATATTGTTGTAAATAGAGAATAAATGTGCCCTTCTTTATCTATCTTAGTTATAGAGACTACATTTAACCAAAGGGCCACATAGGGGGAGTATGAAAGTGGTAAACCCCACACCCATGCCACACACAAAAAAGTGAAAGCTTAAGGCTTATTATCCAGGTTAACTATCCTTTTTTAAAACTTGGAATTACTTAACAAATGAGTTCAAATACAGGTCTTGACTGAATATCTCACATCATCTTCTTCAGAGCGTGCTTCGTTTCTAGGGCTGCCAAGTCACCTCCTATCAGAGACACTGTATAGACACAGACACTGCATCTATTGACTGTATTCAGCACTTAGTAAATGCTGAATATGCCTTCAGCAAACTGAGATCTATTTCATTTGAGAATAAATGACCATACTCTGTTCAGCATGTATAAAGCTCTTGGTTTATTCAGCTGCAAAGCTGGGGAAAGGCTTCCTTTAGGAGTGAATAGCAGAAATGTGTTTATGAGCAAGGCACTTTTCTCACACTCTCTCTCTCTCTCTCTCTCTCTCTCACACACGCGCACACACAGAAAAAGGAACATATGGTTACATAAACATCAACATATTTTAATTTTCAGAACTCCCTATCTCTTCCCACCTCCCCCTTAAAAAAACAAAAACAAAAACAGGTGGTTGTAACATTTTAAAAACCGGTTTCACAGAACATCTACAGAGGAACATTCTCTGATACATTCAGTTACACGAACAGTATGATATGGTTTCAGTTCAGTAATTTTCCATGAATAAATATTTCTTCTACCTACAATTCCCTCCTTTTTCTTTAAGACAACTAAAGCTCAGCAGAAATACTCATTAGGTTATAAACATTCTTCTCTCCTTAAAATTGCTATACATTTATAGGATTTGTGATTCCATTAATGCTTCGATCTTTTGATGCCATATTGTATACAACACTTAATTATGGAGAATAAGAAGCAGTAAAACTAAAATAAGGAAGAAGATATATATCTTTAACAATCTAATTACTGAATCCTTTAGCTGCCCAGTCAATCAGGATCATTCACAGGTTTCACTCTTTTTTGCAGGTTGTGTGAAAAGATTTAACGGTCTCATGCATTTTATGTATATCTATTACTATGTTTTGACATCTAAATAAACACAGCAAGACTCATTTACAAGGGTACATACTCTTCCTTGTTCGGCTACATCTAATGCTAATCTATGTAGAAAAACGATGCTAAAAAAGTCTTCGACTTCAGGTTACATTAGGCTGAGATTTTCAGTAGTAAGATTCTTTAATGTCAGAAGTGTTCCTGGAAAGTGTGCAGTGGGTGTGGAAAGTGCATAATGTACTGCTCCAGGAAACACACAGATGAAATAATCCACTAGCAGTTAGCCCTAAAAACATAAATGCTCTCTTAATGCTTTCCCTTTGGTCTTTCGGAATGTTTTGTTTCCTCTTGACTAAAGTCTGGGTGTCAAGATGCTGGAAACATATTCCCTCTAGAACAGGTGTCTGTTTAATCCCCAGGTATGACCTTATAGGCCAATTTAGCCAGAGACAGCCTGGGGGGAGCCTATGATAGAAAATGTTTATGCTGTAATTGCAAGTACTATAATAGGTCTGGAGTAGTGTAGGTGAGGTTTGAAATTGCACTTCCTCTCCCTAAAGTAGGAACCCCTGCAGGTAGGCTTATCTATATAAAAGCTGGGAGATAAATCAGACCCACTGTTTTCTTTTGTCCAGTTATTTAATTTAATTCAACTACCTCCCTAGAAATTAATGTCAGAGAAGAATATGCTCAGCAAAGTGTTACTGGGAGTAGCTAACCTCCTACTTTTCACAATAGCTGTTCTTAAGGTTGGGTAACAAAAGGGTAGTAGCCTATCTTTTCCTTCCCATTAACAATTAGTTATCTAGTTAGAGTCCATTCAGATATGCGGAATAAATTGGGGGGATAACTGAGTGTGGAGAATAGTTAACTTATCTGCTGCAATATGGTCCCTCTTGACTAATTCTCCATTGAAGTTCTCATTTTATCCACAGGGTCTATCAAAGGGAACGCTCACAATGCACATTTCCTGTAGCTGAGTGAGGGGACCCTCAGGTATATAATCAGTACTTGGTAGCCCTTTGGCTTGTCAGGATAGGGCAAAGTCTGGTTGAGAAGGCATTCGTTTCTCAGCTCTGGGCTGTGTAACACGAGAGGCAGCAGAACAAATGGTGGATCTCTATAGTGATGCAGTTAGGAGTTTGTTAACTGCCTTTTGGAAGTCAGTGTAAGAATAAGTAGTGTTGATGGGCTCAGTGCGGGTTGTTTCCTTAACTGTTTTAGTTAACCAGCCACAGCAACAACCAGAAACACATGAATTAGGAATTTGTTTTAGGTATTCCGGTATGGGAGTGGCTCTACTCAAGGTTCGACTTAACTGCTTGGTGGCAAATTGCAGTGCTCCATTTAGAGTGGCGTGATCTCTAGAAAGCCGGCTGGGACTTGTAAGGGGCTTTTGAAAAGGTGGGACTCCACAAGAAGCCAGAGGTGGCCATTCAGGAATTGGTTCCAGTTTGGGAACACAGTGGGAGCAATGGGAGAGTCTTAGACCTATCTCTCGAAGTATGTGGACTGGCGTGCTTGGATCCAAGAGTTTAGCATGATATAACCAGGAATTAGGATTTAAAGGTTTCCAAGTTGTTGAATATTTTAAAAGGCACTTTACCTGCCAAGCGAGACTCTCAAGAGGTGTTAGGTTGGGCACCACAGGGTCCTCTTCTTCAGAGGAATCCCACTCTTCCCCAGAACTCTCATTTAGGTAGTTAGCGCTTTCTTCTTCCTCACTTTCTGATTCTGATAAAGGGTCAGGAGAGGGATTTCTGGGACCCATTTGAATAAAACAAAAGAAGGAACCAGAAAAAGGTAACAATTGAAGCCAGCAAAACACTAACACTGGCAAATAGAAACAAAAGATGAAAAATCCCTTCAATAAGATTGTCTGTTTCTCAGTCCATTACACACAAAGTATGCCTCTGGCTCGCATCACTGTGCAGTTCTTTGAGATTATGTTGGGTATTCTTCACTTACAAAGAAGACATCTCAGTTCTCAGGACCAGTTCAGTGTGTAAAAGTGTTAGTCACTTACCAGTGGTCCAGGCTACCCAAGAAGATTCGAAGGGGTCCTCATCTAGTCAAGCTGATTTGCTTAGCGTGGTTTCAACTGGTTGTGATATTGGGAAGAGATACTTGTGTCCACTACTTTGTTGGCAGGGATATTACATCTACTTGGTAATGAAAAGAAACTCAGTGGTTGCCTTCGTTGTCTGCTGGTGCAGCCAATTTTGTGCAGGAGGCTGGAGCGATGAGTTCTCAAGGACATGTGGTGTGCATAGATCCGATGTTTTCCACAGGTCGTGCAAATGCCCTTGGAAACTGGTAACTTAGCTGTTGGACTATCTGGAAAGGTAGCCTTAACCTGTGAACGAGAAGACTAGACACATGACACTAAAGCCTGAAAGTACTAGGTAACATTATTGCACATTTAACTATGAGTATTTAAGAATAAGAAGCCTTATTGGCTTTCCTATCTCATAGGCTTAGGCAGATTTTCCTATTGGGAATGGCTCCTAAAATCACAAAATTGGGAAGAAGAGCCTGAGGCCATTTTAATCCTTATGGTACATATCTGAACCAGCTTGTTTTTTAATATGCAGTTCTAGCCCAGAAAATTACTTCTGCAAAAGCAGATCCCTGATGCCCCAAACTCCAAAGAGAGAGCTATAAAAGGTATCTTTTTACCTTTAGATGTGCTTATTGGGATTAGTTTTAGGGGACCTGTCCTGGTTGTAGAGCTGTTAGATGTTAGGAATGTGGCTGGGACCCCAGAGATTGCATTCATGTGACCATACTCTACAGGCATAAGATAGCAGGTATAAATCTTAATATAGTAGAAATTACACTGAATGTAAATAGGTGAAACTCAATTAAAAAACAAACAGGCTGGATTAAAAAACAAAACAAGAGTCAATAATGTGCTAACAAAAGATACTTTAAAGCAAAAGACACAGGTCAAATATAAAATAATGAAAAAAGATATATCAGGCAACTGTGAACCAAAACAAAGCTGGGACAGCAATCTTAATATCTAACAAAAAAGATTTTAAGCCAAAAAATATAAGGGACAAAGATGGACGGTAATACTGGTTAAAAGGAACCAAATAAAGTGACATACAGTTAAATCCTCTCTTAAAGTCACTGAAGGGCTCTGCAACTTTAAGACAAATGATGTTAAAACTGGTAAAGCCAGTTCTGCCACAGGCTAACTGATCTAAACAAGAGTTAGGTTCCTATGACATCTCATCAATGTTATAACTAAATGATGTTGAACGAAATTATGTCATTCAAGGACCTGCTGTACTCATACACATATGAACCTGAAAACACATATTCAAAATTTCTCAAGTGACAAGTGATAGAACTGCAGGGGAAAGAAATATAAGTGGAGATATAAAAAGCTAAAAAAAAGCCACTTAAAAATATCAATATACATTGGATACTATGTAAGAATACAGAACTCTACACCAAACAGAATAGATATCTGAGCACACACAAACACACAAATAAAACATGCATTAAGTTATAATATATAACTAGATTCCAAAAGGTCAATTTCATTCACACTAAATTCTCTGACCATAATGCAATAAAATTAGATAATAAAGGTTAGTTAAAAGTATTCCTATTTTGAGAAACTAAATAACTCATGGGTTAAAATGGAGATTACAAAAGATATTAAGAAATATTAAAACTGAATAATAATATACACCTGCAAGGCAAAATCTGTGGGACATGAGCAAATCAGTACCTAAAAGAAATTTATAACTTTGAATACACTGATGAGGAAACAATAAAGTTTAAATATTCACAAGTTAAACATTCAAGATAATGCAAAAGAGCAAGAGCAAAATCAGCAGAAAGGAAATAATAAAGATAGAAATGACAAAGTATATAAAATAATAACAGAAGACTGATAAAACCAAAATATTTTGATAATGAATTAAAAAAATGAAAGTGGTGAGACTTATCAAGAACGAGATTTAAAAATAAAAGATTCAAAATAAAAACATGACAAACATATGCTAAAATATTAAAATCTAGATGAAATGGCTAAATTCTGGAAGAATAAAAAATACTAAAATTCATAGAGGAAGAAACAGATAACTTCAATGGAATAGACTAGTAAATATTAAAGAAAATGAAAAGGTAACAACCTTCTATTAAAAACATCAGGTCCATGTGGTTTTATAAGTGAGTTCCAGCAAACTTCTAAGAAAATATATATTTTACATGTTGTTCCAGAAAAAAGAAAAAGCACATAAACTGACTAGGTCCTTAAGAAGATAATAAAATATTAATTCTAAATCTAGATATGAACCAAATAAGTACAGGCTCATTTCACTTGCAAAAATTCCAAATATTACCCAACAAAACTAATAGTGTTTTGCTTATCCCAGGAAAGCAAGAATATCTCAACTTCAGAAAATTTATAAATATAAATGACAACAGGGATAAAGCCAAAAAAAAAAAACCCACAAAAAACAAAAAAAACACCTAGATCATTTTATCAACCATGGATATTTAACTTTTCCTAGTTCCCAATCAACACCTATTTATTTTTAAGAAACAAAACACTCTTACCAAACCAGCAAGAAAAAGTTACTTTCTCAACTTGGTAAAAGTTTATCAACCAAAAATTTTCATATTCCCTTTAAAAATCAAATTACATAAGGATCACCATGATGATTGATACTGACAAAGAACCAAAAGTTCTAATCAATGTTATAATAAAAGAATAATAGATATAAGAACTAGAAGAAAAAAGCTATTAATTTATAGATATACGGTCATCTAATTAAAAGAAGACTTAACATATGAACTATTAGAACTAATAGAAGAGTTCAGCAAAGTTCCTGGATATGAGATTAATCTATGACTATTCACTAATTTGTTTATATAGCACTTAACAATTTGCCAGGTACTATTTTAGAAACTGCACAAATGTTAACTCATTTTAAATTCTCCTAACAACTCTATAAGATAGGTTTTTTTTATTGTCCCCATTTACAATGAGGTTTAATTTACCTGCCCGAGGTCATGCATTTAGTGAGAGGATTTGAATCTAGGCACTCTTAACTTCCATATCAGTAATACTAACTAGAAAATGTATTACATAAATACCTTTCACAATGTAACACACAAGATCAAAAAATGATGAATTCAATCACATCAAAATTAATCATTTCTGATGATTAATGACTGAACTAAATAAAGACATCGAGAACGAAGTTAACTACAAATCAACAACAAAAAGTAGCAACCTCAATAAAGAAATAGGCAAAGGACAAAAATATCCAGTTTACAGAAGAGAAAATCCAAAGGCCATTGACGATATGACGAGTAAAGAGATACCACGTTATTCTATTCGTTTGGTAATTAGAAAGCTGGACAATGTCAAGTGCCAGTAAGGAGACTAAAGGAATCCCTTCAGGAACCAGCCTGCTGGTGCGATTGTAGACTGGGATCTTTCTGAAGAGCAAACTGGCAGCACTACTTAGCCAAACTATTTGCACATCTCATGATCTAGCAATTCTACTCTTGGGTATATGTAGCAAAGAAATTCTCGTTAAGACCAACATGTACTCTGATGCTTGGTCTTTGATGGTAAAAAATTAGAAGCACTCTAGGTTTCCATCACTGGAGGAGTGGACAGGTAAAATGCGGTAAAAGCACATTAGAAGTATACATTGCAACACAGCTGGACTAAAAGCATAGGCCTAAATGGAAAAAGCAAAAACCAAAATATCAACAGCTCATTTACATCATTCTGTAGGAGTAATTTCCAAAATGTAACTCAGTAAACATCTAGTTTCAAATACACACTGAGTTGTGTTAATAAGGTCATATGGTATGACTTCGTGTCAGTAATATTTCTATATACATTCTTCTTATATATCAGTTCCCAGCAGTATCTGGCATATATCAAGGGCTTAGGTTTTTTGAAAAAATTAATGAGGGAATGATGAAGGACTGCTGTAAGTAACTATACAAGCATATCCTATTTTTATTCTACGGCTACAAAAATACCCGAATTATATTTAAGTGACTTAATAATGTGTTGGACAAAGGCAAATTAAACAATTTTTTAAAAGGTAGGATCAACAAAGATCCTACTAAAGCAAAATAAAGAGAACTGCTTATAACTTCATCTGCAGGAAAAAACGTGAATGCAAATACTTTTAAGTTTATAGTATTACCACCTAGTTCAACCTAAAAACAAAAAGAAAATTCGAACATACCATAAGTCTTATTTAATTGAGACAGGAGAAGCTGTTGGCTTTTAATTCTTCTGTCCTCTTATATTTTTACTATTTCATTTCAACCAGATTCCATCTGCAAGATTGAGTATATTTCAGTCATTCTGTTACTCAAAGCATGCTTTAAAAGGCTCACTCTACTTTTTCAGCAGAAATAACAAAGTCTCTTTGAAGGCATATGTAAACCCTAGAGTGAACCCATCACTGTTATTCCTTTATATTTCATGTGCATAATTTTCCCATATAAAACCAAATTAACTGCACTTACTCTATATACCTCCATGTATAATTTACCTCCATGTATAATTTACCTTTAAAAAATATTATTTGGAACTAAATAACCTTACCACATAAATTCTTTAGTTTTGTTATTTCTTTAATTAAACAAAGTTTACCAAGGACAGGAAGAGATTTATTCCCAAAGTTGCTGTTATTTGTTCTTTTTTCCCATAGCACTGAAAATAGAAGTTAATAAATAGGTAAGCTTAAGACAGTGAGACTATGAAGTTTTAATTTATCATTTTTTACCAGCTTTATTGAAGTACGCAGTTGGCAAATTATATTTAACACAATGTGATGTTTTGATATATTAACTGAAATGACTACCACAATTAAGCCAATTAACATATCTATCATCTCGCAGTTACCATTTATGTGTTAAGAACACTTGAGATCTATTTTCTTAGCAAATGTCAAGTATACATATATTACCTATAGTTACCATGCTGAACATTAGGTCTCCAGAACTTATTCATCTTAAAACTGAAAGTTTGTAC